ATCTGGATCCTGGTCTCGGTGGGTGGGTAGAGGACAGCGAGTTCTCAGCCAAGCTTTAACGCTGGACATGGGGACTATGGTGCTGATGGTGTCTGGTGGAGTGCTGGAAGTACTCAGTGAGCACTAGGGAGCATTGATTGGCTTAGGCACCCAGTTGGGGTGCCAGGTGGTCTGCCACATGAGAAAATACCGGCACTCCAATGTTTTCCAAATCAAAATCTTCTTTATTCTGAAAAGTACATAAACTTTTCAGCTCCCCTAAGGAGCTTTCATCAAAACACTTATAACATGTAGAATGAAAAAGCTTATATAGGAAACACAATCAATAAAATAGGTACTTACAGACAGGTGATCATCATTTCCATCTGCCGCCAGGTCCGCTCAAGTTATCTGCACGCTCGTGTACACATCCAGGTTTGTGGTCACATGACCGGGTAATCCACACTGTGCGTACCGATTGGGCAGCCACGTCACATCGCAGGAGAAACCATAGACGCCTACGTCTCATTGGCTGCTCCCGCATGTACCGGCGCCAATCTGGGACAAACTTCAATAGACTGACCAACCTTAGTGTTAAGCATAGTGTTATCATGGCAACCGAAGCGCACCCTAGCGGCCAAGAGGGAAATGCCAGAATAAGCAATACACAGGAAAATAGAAATAGACAACCGTAGGGAAATAAATAAATCATGTAAAAATAGAAAGTCTCAGCTCAAATAGAGCTGAAGTGTAAATATAGAATATAGAGCACTTCAGCTCTATATTGCTTATTCTGGCATTTCCCTCTTGGCCGCTAGGGTGCACTCTCGAAAGCTTGTATTTGAAATATTATGTTAGTCCGATTAAAAAGGGACCATCGCATACTGCAATACTCTGGTATTTTGGCATCTTGTCTACTGGACTAATACGGCTAATCCAGTCTACATTACTATATATATGTATATATGTATATATATATATTAATATCAAAATACACTTAGAATGAAAACAGGCCAGGCAGTCTACATGCAGGTAATCTTGCAATCCAGCCGATCCAAGTCATGTGATTGTGGTGTCATCAATAAAGTCCTCCTATTGTAGGAAGTGGATCATCTTCAATATTGCATCCCAGAGAATGGGTAAGATTTCTGTGTTGGGAATCTGTATGAAACTACAAGGAAATGGTTTGACCTAAACCAGGGAGACTATGCTTAAAGTCTAAGTTTCCTTGTACTATTATTAGAACAATTAGCTATATTAGAAAAAGTACTATGAGTGTTCCTTTAAGCAGTCAGGCAAATAGCAATTTAATGTATATACCAATTTGCCTGTCTCTCCAGATGCAGTTGGAATCCGGAATAGATTATGTGTTTGGTATATATGTGAATCCTATAGTTTATATGTGATTTCTATGCAAAAAGTAATTGTTTTGAACCAGACAACATATGTTACTGTCCAAATGGTGCTCAGTTGGAATGACTGTATTTTAACTAGATTTGATATAAGAATTGCAAATCCTCTTGATCTCTGGTTATTTCCCCCAAGGTTTGGCCTACCAAACAAAATTCAGTATTTAGTTAATAAACTTGTGTGAGAAAATCATCCCGCTAAAGGCAGGTTGCCCATGTTGTCTGCGGTTAACATATTGTTTGTGCAAACACCAGATGCAAAAGTTGCACAATACTGATATTTTCAGCCTGGAAGAGAGTCATTTTTAAAAAGAAAGACTGCGGGAACAGGATCTTTACACCATATCCACTTCAACACGATGAAGTGGTTGTGATGCTTAAAGTGTCCCTTTAAGGAATTGTCAGTGGAAATGCAGAATATATTTATAAAACATATCTCCAACTCACATGGATTGGAGATAAGAATGAACTCGGCTATATCATAGTTTTGCAAGTCAGTTCCAAACTGAATAGATTGCTTTGATTATCTGTAAAACAACTCCTGTTGCACATATTAAAGCTGCCCATTGAAGATGATATATAGAGCTTGATTTTATTTTATTTTTAATTCCGTATCATGAATATTTTCTGTTTCCTACAAAAAATATAAAATGTAAAAAAAAACATGTTTGAAAATAAAACAACTCAATGTTCTTTTTGTATAATAAAAAAAGAAAAGAATTGGACTTTTTCCAAACAAATTATAGGTTTCTCATCAACCATTAAGCATCTATTTTCTTTTCTCACAATTACGCAGAGAGTGGTGGGTACGGTGGCATACTCCACTCCCCTTCTGCTGCTTCTTTCAATGAAAATTGCTCAACCCAGATGTCTAGCTTGAAAAAAAAAAACCTCTAGCAGCATCTGTTTTACCACAAGCTCATCCAGCAAGTTGGTATAGTACAATGTTGGTACCCCAGATGTTACTAAAATGCCTTTCCCATGGTGCTTAGTCAGCCTAAAGACTTCCCGAGCATCATGGGAGTTGGAGTTCAGATACATGTGAGCTGACAAAATAAGAATTCAGTACTAGAGTAGCCTTGCATTAGGCAGATGCTGTAATGTCCAAATTTCTTGCAGTACTCCAAAATCATTTGTTGTCTTTGTCTTTTGTTAATATTTTTTCTTTACATAGTATTCTATTTTATTTTTCTAACTTAGTGGACAGATATTTTAACCTGCATCTGTATCAGTAACAGTGGGATTTATTACAATATATACAATCCAGTACAGACTGTAGCAATAATTATTATACAGTTGTGAGATTCTAAATAGAAAATGTAATAAAAATGTATAACCAACCTACTCCCTGTCTCCTCGACAATGTTTTAGATAAGATTTTTCATGGCCAGTATTTAATTGTCCAGTTTACACGAGTGGGGGGTCATGGAATTTTTTTTCCCCTCCTACAAATTAAGGCCTGATTTTAATATTTTTGTATAAGCTATTTAAATGATTGAATATTTTTGGATAAACTTTTAAAATTCTGTTTTCACATATTTGTTTGAAATTTTTTTTTATCATATATAAAACTATGTAAATACATAAAAAGATTTCAAAATAATAAAACAACGTATTTTCATAATATTGAACCATTTGGAAAGCTTATCCAAAAATATTAAATCTAGGCCATAATTGGTAATTGTGCAAATATACTTGGACAAATATACAAATGCTATTATGCTATTTAATTAGTTTTTTTTAAATGAACTTATTTATCAAATAGACCGAACTTTCTTCTTTGCTACTCCCAGAGTATTCATTTCCATCTCTGATTGTGTATGTATTTGCCTTATTAGAATAAACATTAATGTCAATATTATTAGTATTATTATTATGTAGTTTATAATAACACACTAGGAAATCCCGCAGAGTTGTATCTTCTTCTGCCTGCCTCAGCAATATAGTTGTTTTTTTTTACTTCATTTATCTCTTCGTGATGATTTTGTGATCATGTTTACTGTTCTCTTATAGGTCTATGTGTTAATGATTGCAACTTGTGTGTGTTTTTTTTCTTGATACAGTGAATTTGTAGTCTCGGTTTTCAACAACAACAAAAAAGATAGATAGACAGATAGATAGATAGATTCATAGACAGAAAGACAGACAGACAGACAGACAGATAGATAGATATATAGATATATAGATAGATAGACATACAGAAAGATAGATAGATCGATAGACAGATTCATAGACAGACAGACAGATAGATAAATAGCTAGATAGATAGATACTAGATAGATCGATAGATAGTTAGATAGATCAATTGATAGATAGATATAGATAGATAGATAGATAGATAGTTAGATAGATCAATTGATAGATAGATATAGATAGATAGATAGATAGTTAGATAGATCAATTGATATATAGATAGATATAGATAGATAGATAGATAGATAGATAGATAGATAGATAGATAGATAGATAGATAGATAGATAGATAGGTGGGATTAATTATACCTCCGAACAAAGTTATCATTCGCATTCTTCTTTGTAAATAGACTTTACTGTATCTGTGCAATAAAAACAATGAATACTCATTAAAAATAAATTTATTTAGTTGCTGGTTTCATAATTAGCATTGTGACAGCATATTGGCTAGCTCGAAAAAGATCTGTGAATCCTTATAAACAAATACCACTTGGAAAAATTAAGGAGAAGATTGTAGACTGGAAAGATCCCCAATTCTACTAGGAACAAAAACCTGGCAGTCAAATATAAGAAACTGCTAACTCACAACAGAGTGACCTACTGGAAGACATATGCCAAAAAGACAGCGTTTTATGCAATTCTTGTGAAGTAGCGTCGTTCTGTCTATACCATCTGCAGATTTATTATTGTGCCACAATAAAAAAAAAAAAAAACGAGTAACAGTTCCTGAATATTATTGAACTGTAACCAAAGGAAAGACTCCAGTAAAATGGGCGCCACACCCACACCTACTGATGTGGTCCAAGTTTTTTTCTCGTTCGTCTCTAAAAGCACCTAATTAAGAAATCCTGACTCATTTACATGGATCTGTTTGATCTAAATTACACTCCAAACCACACCAAATTAGCAGCATCTGTGAATGTGAAATGTTTGTTCCCTGTGTCTGCTAAAACAGGACCAGTTCTGGACAGCACATGTGTAAGTGACGAAAAAATTATTTCATATAACTTACCTCTATGATCTATTTTCCTCTAATAATTCATACTGAGAATAAGTAACGGATAGAACTTGATGATTATTTCAGTCTGTGACAAAATATGTTTCATCATCAAAGCTATAGTGAAGTAGACCACCAACTTTGCTTCTGTCATTGATAAAAAAAATAAATTATAATTGTAAAGAAATTATTGGAAAGTTTTAACGTGCCAAGTTTTCAGCAGTATTTAAAACAATTATATTTTATAAGCTGTATAATAGTAATAAGAGATGCAGATTTATATTTGCAAAAGTTTCAATCACTTATTTAGGGACCAAACTAGAATTCATTATAGAGAAAACATTTTGGAAAGCCTAGGATTTTTCCAGAATCAGTCTTTTTTTTTTTGGAGAGCGATAGTATTTTATTTATTATAAAATAATAAAGGGTCCAAACACATTGCATTTTATCTTTTACATTGTACTATTCTCTTGGTCGAACACAATGAAAAACACCAGCTTGCTTCATAGCTTCGTATTCCTTTGTGGCATCAAAGTTCTTGTAATAATCTGCATATGCTCTCTTCCTTGGCTCTGCAACGCCAAACTTGTACAAAGCTACGACTCCTAGAGAGACAGCAAAGGCGCCGAAAATGTGAAATCAGAGGCGTTTACCCAGAAGGCCTCTCATTTGAGGTTTAGCTAGCAGAGCTGATGACATGTTGAGTTTTCTGTGGGCCTCTCACACAGCCGCAATGTCCTTCTACAATGAGACCTTTCTCCTCGCGCACACTGGAAAAAGAACTCAGAATCAGTCTTTTTTAACCCTAGTTTAGGAGACAAGAACACATTTGACATTGTATCAGAGACTAGCACAACTTTTTAGCCACAGGTGTAGAAGACTATAATAATGTATTTTTACGATTACAGAGCATTCTTATATTACAACTTTTTACTTCAAATATAGGAGAACACGAAGGGTTTAGTCCTCCAGGAATCTTTGGCCCAAATTAGAAAATAACTACCAACTTTTTTTATATATATTTTGAAGACCTTCTGGATATTTTAGCACCAGGTGTAGGACTCCCCACCCCTCCAAAAAAATAAATATATCCCAATAGCTGGGAAAGCTATAATATTTTTATTCTACATATAACAGTGTCGGAACAATTCATTTGCCCAATCAAAGAACTGAAGAAATATGATTTTAGAATTTCAAGAATGTTACTAACAACATGCTCAACATTATACATATCAAAACGTTGACCAATAAATATATAATTTTTTTTTTACCTACGAGCTACAAGTGTAATAATATGGTTTTCATAAGTTCATGTACACATTGTACTTTATGAATACATGAATGTTTTAGCTATCTTCCACAATTCACAGCCAGTCAATCAGAATATAAACTTTCTCGTCATGAATTTATTTACTCAAGTTAAACAGATCAGGTAAGCACGAATATTACATGAAAATGTAGGACATCAAATGAAACAAACAGCAATGTTTTAAATACCCCTGTCAAAAAAGCATAGTTAAAAAAGTTACTTTTCCTTGTAGTCTCTTTGTTGTGGCATTCACTATAATAGCATGGAGCCAGAAGTCTTCCCCTTGTCTACAGTGCCTGGATTCAATAAGCAGTTATGTACGCAGATTATGACAATGTGGTCAAGAAAACCAGATTTTTTCACTCTACCTTTTTATCCTTGAGAACATACAATCTGGTGTTTATTTTTCTTGTCCTCATTCAGCATTTTAAAATATTCACAATTTAAGTCAGGCTATGCTTATTTGATATGATTATTATAACTATGCTATAGACATAAGCAGAGTTGCATTCAAAAGAATTCTGTCTGTTTAACAAAAACACTATTTGCATATTTTATTTTAAATATCAAGAAAATAGAACCAATATTTCATCATTTATCAAGTATATATTTTTTTCCTGTAAGAAGCCAAGTTGTACGTCTGTACGAAAAAATATATGTATTTATTTTACCTTTGTGTCCAAGATATTCAGTTCTTGTCTGTGATAATACAGATTTTAAAAAGTGATTAGTTTATTACAGTTAATAGACCGGGACACATTATAAATAGAGATTGTATCTCAAATTAAATAAATTCATATTTTTTTTAATTTTGCAAATGTGACACTCTAACAGTTTATAATTAGAGATGTCGCGAACTGTCCGCTGAACTGTTCGCGAACTGTCCGCCGGCGAAAAATAGCGTGTTCGCGTTGGGCGAACATATCCGATTTACGGTCCGCCCCCTATACGTCATCATTGAGTAAACTTTGACCTGGAACCTCACAGCCAGCAGACACATTCCACCCAATCAGCGGCAGACCCTCCCTCCGAGGAAGTGTCTGCTGACTGTGAGGTTCCAGGTCAAAGTTTACTCAATGATGACGTATAGGGGGCGGACCGGAAATCGGATATGTTCGCCCAACGCGAACACGCTATTGTTCGCCGACGGACAGTTCGCGAACAGTTCGGCGGACAGTTCGCGACATCTCTAATTATAAACTGTTAGAGTGTCACATTTGCAAAATTAAAAAAAATATGAATTTATTTAATTTGAGATACAATTTGAGTATTTACAGAAGTCAGATTGAACGCTTTGGAGATTTGTCCCAGGAAGAACAAAATAAGTTGCGATTAGGTGTCTGCTAAAAACAAAACAAATAGAAAGAAGATAAGATATTAGATTTCTATACAAATAAAAACTGTACAAATCTGCATATTGACCAGAAACCAAATTGCTACTGAATGTATTAATTCTGAAGGATCATCTTCAGTCTGCCATTTTCCTGAATAACCAAGTAATTGTACAAGGTAGTATGCTAGTTACACGTGGAAATGCATTTAAATGTATTAATTAGTGAAACAAAGTAAAGCAGAAAGAAAGATCTAGTAACAGTGCAATAAAGTTTTAGTATTGGAGATTTGCTTTGGGCATCCTTTGAGCATTTTCCTGTGGCCTTATTGGTCACAAATTTTCACAAAAAGTATTAATTGGACAATTTAGAATTGCAATAAAATTATTTCCTTCAGTCCTGTGATTCTGAAATAACAAGCTGATTTAGTGATGTTACTCTTACAAAATTGAGCATGCCTCCATCAATATCTCGTATAAGATACATTTGTGAAATTAATTAATCACCGGCAAGGAATGTCCATTTTCAGAACTCTGATCATTGTTCTTGTTTTGCTGTATTTTGGTTTGCTCGTTGCGAAATTGACATAACCATAAGATGTCACTTTAAATATTTGGCTTTAGCCGCCCTGCTTGGTTTTGAAATGAAACGTGTGCCTTGATGCTTTCAGTATGCAACGCAGACTGTTCATTATGTAACAAGTAAAAGCCATGAGTTCAATCCCTTACCTCACTTGAATCATTGAAGTTCTTAGTGCACAAACAAAAGAATCACAGTTCAATTTCAGAAACTGGCTGCCATAAGGAGATTCAAGGGTGAATGATATATCTATCATGAAATGACCAGTGTCATTGTGTGCTGCCCGTTTATTCGCTGACCTTCAACACAACAGATAGACTCCTGACCCTCATAAGATAGAGCCTTAGGGGAAATGGCACTGAACACCAATTCCTATATCCTGTTGTTCTGTGGTCTAAATTAAGTGCTAATTAATTACCACTGGCATCTTTGGCATTCCCTGTCAAATTGGATTAAGTTTATCCTTTCACTGTTAACTCAGAAAGTTCGGAATCCTTCATTTGAGGAGCTCTGCATGTTCTTGTGCAGACAAACAAATTTAGAAAATATAAGGAATCACTCCCAATATCCTCAGATGGCCACACACATCCTGGGGATATTAGGAGTTACCATCTTCAAGCATTATTTTCCTAAACTAGCCTGGTGTCTAATCTAGTTAGTTGTTTTAATATAATCCTTTTTTACTGATACGTTTTGTTTTGAATTTCTGAAACATTAATAATAGTTCCATATATATTTTATTATTTGTACCCTGGAAATTCATTAACATGGTTACTTTTTGCTAAAATCGTTCAGCAAAGTACATACAGCCACTCTAAGAATTTGTAAATAAAACATTTGTAATAAATTAACTAAATATCTAGTTTGTGATTGGATTGCAAGACACACTTGTGGCTGGTCCGCAAGGCTTCTCTATGAAGTCTCTGATTGAAGAAGAAATGGGAGAACATGCAGTTACTAGATGTGCAGGTATTGCAAACCAAGATTTCATATACCCCTTTTACGCTCTATTACCTATTTATTAACTGTAAATCCCATCCCATATATGAAGGGTTGTAGATTAATTCATGGCTCACAACTGTCCTGCTCCGGGGCCCTGTCATGTTATCCCAATTTATTTCTCTGGTGTCCTACATCCTGAGACACCAGGGAACTGTCCCAGGCAGCACAGTGCATGCACATAATTAGACATGCTCATGCTGTACATTGGGCACTCGGAGCATGCAGAGAGTGCTTCAGCAGCTCTTCCTGCAAGTTCATGTAGGTTGGGTCGAGAGAGGACGTCGGTCAGCCTGGCATACTTGACTCCAGGTGGGGAAAACCTATTCAGGGGGTGCGCACACACATTCCCTGGGTGGAGCCAGTTACACAAGTTATGTCGTTAATGATGCCCGCATGAAGGCCCACCCATCCCAATTTCATAAATCCCAATGTTGGGAGGTATGGTTTAATCCTGTCCCACACATTGGAACAGAATCTCCACAGCTCCACCTGGATACTAGTGAAGAAGTAAATTTATATGTACTCAATAAGCCCTTCAGCTAGTGGGATGATGGAAGTATCAAACTGCTATGGACCTCCTTGACTCAACAGTAAACCCTTGCATTTGGGATGAGGACAACAGAAAGAACAACGTCAGTTATACTGGACTTGCCCAAGTATGCTACTGAGCGTTTGACTTGTAAAGACTTGTCAAAAAGTGCTTTAAATATGTTTGTGATCAGTGGTAGAGAAACTGGTGTCACTAAGGCCGTGAGTGCGATCAGGTCCTCTGTGTTCCACCTGTCACAGGGGGCCCAAGAGCTAGCTGGCTGGCCACCGTAGGTCCCTTTTTTTATTCTTGCACCAGGGCCCTGTGATTCCTAGTTAACACCATGTTTGTGATGTACATTAACCATGGTGCCATGTTAACCTTTAGGTTCAGTAAAACCAAGGTTTTCCAACAGTGCTTTAAAAGCATTCTGGTGGTCGAGCATGTACCAGTAGATCTGTAACTGTTCACTCAAGGTGCTTTATATGAAGGGTTTATGGCATGGGAGTGCAGAGTTAGGATATCATATCCTTGTGTTCATTTAAATGGTGTCCACTCACAAGCATACATAGCACTAATTGGGAGCAGTGACAAACACTTGGGAAATTGTTTCGGTAATAAAGTGCAATATAGCAAAATAAACAGACATAGTCATTCATTGAAGTGTGATTGCATAGGGAATGTACATTTTCAGGTCAAAAGAGCTGAATTCAAACCATAGCTGACTTGGAAAATGTTTCAGAATTGGCTATTTTGGCCTAGAATTCACTGATAGTTCAAAATTATTGAATAACTCTGAGGCAGTAAATATGTGGACTTCTATACAGTCTGATGAAGCAGGTTGACACAGCTGTGTCTGGACTGTATTGAGATGTCATTTGCTAAATCTTTAATAGAAATATAAAAAGAAAACAGTCTCCCATGAAAAGGGTTAACACAATGTGTATACATACAGGTTGTGGCTTTAAAAACTAATTGGATTTCTAATAAAGGTTTTTAGGTATATGTAACTCTGA